AGAAATCAGAAAAATCTGATTTGATCTGAGTCTTCACGGACAAATGCCAATACCAGATCACAAGATGAAGGCATGAAGGCACTTTTCATGAGAGGGAAAGAACAAACAGAAACAAAGAACTCCAAAAATACAAAGTGATCTACAAAATCTAAGACTGTTGACCAAATTAGAAAATTTGAGGGCAAAACTGAAAGTTACACTAACATGCCTTTACTCATTTGCATTTAGAAAACACCTATTTATTCAAGACACAGCTAAAATTTTCAAATCTTTTATGAAGGACTCACACCAACTCCCCCCATAGGCTCCTTTGACATTTTCCATCTATTTCTCTTTGTTCATGTCTAACAGATATTATTAATTACAAAATCGCTCTCCATCAACCATGTTATCTTTCCAAACAGTTCCTAATACACACAAAACATCCAAAATATATTTGCTCAATCAACTAAAGTATAGTAAAATGGGGTAGAAGATTCATTGGCCAGAAAACTAAATAAAGACATCAATTCTTCCAAGTAATCTACAGGTTTAATATAGTAATTATCAAAGTCCTAGAAAAGTATTTTATAGACAGACAAAACACACAGAACACAATTCTGAAACTTACTGTAAAGCTTATGTGGAAACTCATAAGCCCCAACATAGCTAAAATAAATGTCACACAGAAGCAAGAAAAAAAAAAATCTGTCACCCATAGTAAGGTTGATTACACATGAGCAGTAATTTAGACAGCATGGTACTGATGAAGGAATAGACACATAAATTTTTGGAAGAGATCAAAAAACTCAGAAGAACCTAGCGGCACATGCCTATAATCCCAAAACTTGGGAGGCCGAGGCATAAGGATCACAAGTTTGAGACTAGCATGAGCCACATGAGCCACACCATGAGTTCAAGACCAATTATAGGACCCTATCTCAAGGGGAAAGAAAAAAAAAAAGTAGGAAACTCAGAAACACACCCACCCAAACATACGACGTAATTTTTTAGTAAATGCATTTTATTATTTATTACTGGGGGAGAGTGGGCACGTATGTTCCATGGCCCGCGTGTGGAGTTCGGAAGAGAATTTTGAGGAGTTGATTCTTTCCTTCCACCTTCCGTGAATTTCAGGGATCAAACTTAGGTCATCAAGCTTGTACAGCAAGCCCTTTTACCCACCGAGTCATCGAATGATTCTTGACAGAGGTACAAAAGTAATTCAGTTCTATGTTCATACAAAAACTATATATACATTTATAGTAAGAAACAGTGACATCTCTACAATATGAAATTCAACTATACTATCAGAAAAAAAACTAGTGATACATGCAACAATTCTGATGAATCACCAAAGAATTATGCTTAACAATAAAGGCAATCACAAAAGATTATATGGTGCATGTCCTATGTCTATAAGCTTGGTTGCATTTCATGAGAAAATTTCAGAAATGGAGAGCAGACTGGAGACAGCCAGAAGATGAGAAGTCAAGAGCAAAGAGAAGCAAATGTGGCTATAAAAGGGCAACATGAAGAACACTGTTTGAATGTTATGTGCCTCAACTGTCAATGCCAATATCCTGGTTGTGACTTTACATTCTGATCTGTGACCACTAAAAGAAATCAAGTAAAAGGTTCAGGGTATCTCAGTAATTTCTTCCAAGTGCAAACAGCCCAAATTTCCATTAAAAAAATTAACTAGCATGCAAAGCTAACTTTAACAAAGAAAACAGAGAAGAGGGTGCTGAGTAGATAGTTCAGCCAGCGAAGTACCTACTGTGCAAGCATGAGGACCTGAATTCAGACCCTCAACATGCATATAAAAGCAAGGCCTAAGCACCAGGCACAGGGATACACACCTTTAATCACAGCACTCAGGAGGCAGAAGCAGGCAGATCTCTGAGATTGAGGCCAGCCTGGTCTATATAGCAAGTTCCATGTCACCTGAGGCTATAAGAAGACTACCTCAAAAAATAAAAAGGCAAGTCAGGCATGGCATGTGCCTATAATCCGAACATTGAGGAAGGGGAGGAGTTTGCACAGGTAGCGAAGACAGGTGGATTCCTGGAGCTCACTGACTGGCCAGCCTGCCTAGCCAAATCAATGAGCTACATAAAATCTCACTGAAAGACTGTCTCAAAAAATAAGGTGGAGAATGATCAAAGAAGACATCCGACGTTCACCTCCACACATATGTGCACACATCCTCACAAATACATACATATACCATATACTGAGTTGGGGGTGGAGGATGAACAGGCACAAAGAGGATCTTCTAAGTTTAAGTTATTTAAGTAATTGAGTCAAAGGGATAGAGGGTATGAAAAAGGCATGGATGGTAGAACTGGAAACTTTAAAGCAGTCAAGCAAACTTGGAATATTAATAAAAGTCTATGGGGAAAATGACTTAACATCAACAAAAATGGCATCCCTTGCTTGTCTATTGCATCTCTGAAGCATTATTTGAGTGAGTGTTTTGTGCTGTGTAGACCAGGGTGCTCTAGATCTTGAGATTCTCTTGCTTCAGCCTCTTGAGTTCTGGAATTACAGGTGTGCCCCACCACACTCAGCCTTACACAATTCTTTCCATTCTTTGCTCGTTAACTCGTTACACAGAACCTGTTAATTCTGTTTTATTGGTAAATCTACAAAGTATTCACTGAAATTTAATCTTTTCCTCAAAGTTGTTTTATATCACCACAACTCTGTGTCACTGTAAAATTCAACATAATAGAACTTTGCAGAATTATTGTATAATACTAACAAAAATAAGAATTATCCCTATCTTAAAAGAGAGATAATAATCAATTCAAACAAAAACTAATTCACATGTCACACAAAAGTTAATGACATCAGGAGCTGGAGAGATGACTCAGCAGTTAAGAGCACTGGCTGCTCTTGCAGAGGACCCAGGTTCAATTCCCAACACCCAGATGGCAGCTTACAACTGGCCATAACTCTAGTTCCAGGGGACTTTGATACCCTCTTCTGACTTCCACGGGCACTGAACTACACAGAGAACTTACATATATGAAGGCAATACACTCGGAAAAAATAAAAATCATAAAATTTTTTTTAATTTTTTGAATTTTATTATTTTTATTTTATGTGTACGCGTGCCTGCATGTAGGTAAGTGTACCTGTGTTGTGCAATGCCCACGGTCAGAAAAGGCTGTCAGGTGACACCAAAATAGAATCACAATTCCAGATCATCATTCAAATTAGTGCAATATTTTTTTTTCTCTTTCATAAAGAATTTCCATTACTATTTCTTATGTCAATAAGGGTGTGCTTATGAATTAGGTATTTTCCTAACTAGCTGATATAAAGAGCAATGTTTGTTTTTATTAACATTTTTAATCTTTCACAGTTCCTGTGACAAGTCTATGAAACTTAAATTTGTCAAGATATATTTAAGAAGAAATATTTTCAAAGCTGCTCTAGCGTACACTATGAGGTAACACTCCAAGACCAAATTCACTGTCAATGATACCTAGCAAAACCAGCATGTTCTACCCTCACTAGGCAAAGCCATTGTGCTATCTGATTAATATTAAATTTTTAAAATTTTATTTCTATTCAATGAGTGTAAGTGCACCTGTATAGTGTTATTAATGCCTGAAGAGGAAAGGAGAGGATGTTGTCAGATTCCCCTGAACCCAGAGTTACGAATGGTTGTTAGCTGATGTGTGGGTGCTGGGATTCGAACCTGGGTCTTCTGCAAAAACAGCCAATGCTCAACTGCTGAAGCATCTCTCTCTAGCCCAGTTAATATTAATTTTAAGTCAGCAAACATTTCCTGAATGGTTAGGTCCAGTCAACCACAGAAGCAATAATAATACAATAGTGATGAAAATGTTGCTCTTATCTCGTTAACAGCCAACTATAGTTAGGTCTAATGATGTGAAGATACAAAGAGAGCCAAAAGTCATAGCCCTACAGGAGCAATGTGAAGTTATCTAAACCAGTATGAAGACAATCAGAAGTGATGGATGAATAGAGACCTAAACAGGTATCGGCCAGCTGAGCACTGATTTAAAAAAAAAAAAAAAAAAAAAAAGGAGGTAAATATATTGACATAAATGCACATAAGAGAGTATGTGTGCATGCATGCACACGGACATGCATACACAATGATCATAAGACTCAGAGAATAAAGAAAAAACTTAGGAGTAATATCCAAGAACCAAAAGACAAGTGTTGACTGACTTTACAAATCACACAAAAAAATCTAGGTTGGCTATATGAAACCCCACTTGATATAAGGAGGGGAAATAGTAATGGAAATTGATGCAATGAGGCATTGGACATGTCTAAAAGTAGGTGTGTAAGTAAATCTTAAAACAGGAAGTTCATAGTTGAAATTATTTAAGAGACTCTCGGGAGTTCCCATATTTCTTCCCCCAACTCATAACGCAAACCACTCATTCCCTTCCAGACAGCAGACACAATAATAGGTACAGCTGGTAGGAGAGGACCACCACCACCACCAAGAAGAGCGATTAAATGAAATTCTGCTTCCAGGCTCAGAATTCTGGTCCTTTCCCAACCTTCTTTGGCAACTAAAATGTTCTCAGCTATATTTATATCCTGTTACAGGCAAGAAAACAGAACAAATCACATGTATACACCTCAAGGACCTATGGATAATTACAGTTAGAGACTTCCTCCCAAAATGGCCTAACAGGTCACCCTACAATGTCACTCTTAGGTTTCAAAGCCACAGCTGTGGGTAACAAGCTTCCAATCAGTCACTTAAGCAAGATGTTTCCTGTTTTCCATTCTAAAGCTTATTTAACTTTAAACAATGCACTTTGAAAACAACAACAACAACAAAAAAAAAACAACTAAACGCAGGATGGAAAGGAAGAGTGAAAGTCTCCAAGCAAGGATTTTTTTCTATCATCTAAAAATAATTTTTATACAGATAATAAATTGAAAGAAGTTTAAAAAAGAATCCTCAATCCTAAAGAAGTTCATGCCCAAATAGGATACATAAAAAGTAGAAAGTACTCAACCTGTATATCCATTAACATAGATGGCAACTCCACTAAATATTGCAGATGAAGTCCCATCCTTCTGCTTAGCAGCATCTGATCGGAACTGCTCCTCCAATTTCTGGACCTTGGCAGCCATATAGCCACCCTAAAATTAAAGAAAAGATTAACCAATCACAAAAGATAGTTTCTTCCTCAGTACCTCCACCTTTAAAGAAACTTACAGTTCAAATATATATATACATATATAAATTTTAAGGAAAAAAATCAATCTTATTCTACACTAGTGGCCAGGGTAATATAAAGACAAAGTAACAAAGCAGATAGGACGAAGGAAAACTTTTGTTAACTTCATTTTTTTTTTGAGGGTTTTTTTTTTTAAAATGTGTATGCATGCATTGCCTGTATGTAAGTGCACCCGTGTCATGCAATGCCCTCCGAGGACAGAAGAGACTGCTGGATCCCCTGGAACTGGAGTTATGGACAGTTGTTAGCTGCCATGTGGGTGCTGGGATTTGAACCTGGGTCTTCTGCAAGAACAGCTAGTGTTTTTAACCGCTGAGTCATCTCTCCAGCCTAAAATGCGTTTATTGAAGAATGTTTTTCAGAATGAGATACTTTTGATTTGTCATTAAAAAGAAAGTACATTTCTTTACGCTGTAGAATAAAGGTAATGTAATTACGAGAAGACAGAGTTAAGCCATTTTCTGCTGGAATTGTCGGCGAGTACAGCAGTGTTGTCATTTCTGCAAAGCTAAATAAATTTTAAAAAGTCTCTTCTATGTTCTCCTCAAAAAGCAATGAATAATAACAGAAGACGGCATTAAAAAGCCGTTTTCTCTATTCATTCGGTAGTATTAGAGCCAGCACTTTTACCATCACAGGCTACAATTTTCACTGTCTACTTTAATAAGCTCTGTCACTTCTCTGAATTCAACATCATTCAACACAAAAGTCCAAACATTATTGCAGAATCTGTATGTATTTAGAGAGCCCCTGAAATTGACTCTGCTCCTGACCCTCTGAGCCAATTCTGAATTTACAGCCTTATCAAACTGAAGTAGAACTTGAAGTGCAAGTTGGGGGGCGATCTGTTGAGACTGTATGAGTTCACTGAGGCTCTCTTGAAGACTGTTTCCCAAAGTTGTATTTCTGTATAACTGATATGCTGTGGCTTAGGAGGAAGCAAATGCTTTGTCTTCAGGATTGCATTGATGACCTCAGGAAAGGCACTGGCTGCCATGGCAGCTTGCAGAGCAGGGCCAGAGCCGGCAGGGCAGCCACTACGTGACCTCCTCAGCTGCGGAAAACCTTGTTAACTTAATTTTTAAGAACTTTGTTATATTCTTATGAGGTAAGTTAAAGATAAGTCCATAATTTAATACAAAATATTGTTCTTGCATATGCAACTGAGAACATTATATCAAAGTTAACACAGAAATTTAGAAAAATCTTAGCATAATTTAGACTGGCTTCTACTGTTTCCCATACAAGAAGCTTAAAATAAGCAACTGTCCATTAATGGTGCCGAATACAATTAATAATTCAATGGCTAAGTTCTGAATCTAATCAGTTGATTTGATGGTAGTATTAATTTTCATTAGGTTATTTCAATGTCAGAAAGAACATACAAAATTTTTATTATTGAAAACAACTGGACAGACTTAGGAATTGTCTCATTTTTTAACCTTAAAATAATTAGGCTTGATTGTTTATCAGGTCTTCAAATTACAGCCATAGGTGGCAAGAAGTGGTATATACTTTTTTTCCAAAATGCAAATGACTTCATTGTTTTTACTGATTATTACAATATTACATGCTCATTATAAAATTTTTCAGAAAATAAAGAATATGAAAAGAAAATTAATATAATCCCATTCACTAACACTTCGGGTAGCTAGCTTTTTAAACCTTGTTTGTTATGCCTCACAACACAAAATTAGGATCATACATAATATTCTTTTGTCACCCACTGTTTTAGCTAAGGCTATCATTCCAGGTTAAAAATATAAAGCTAGGGGCTGGAGAGATGGCTCAGAAGTTAAGAACACTGGTTGTTCTTGCAGAAGACCCAGGTTCGAATCCCAGCACCCACATGGCAGCTAACAACTGTCCATAACTCCAGTACCAGGGGATCCAACAGCCTCTTCTGACCTCTGCGGGCATTGCCCAACACGGTTGCACTTACCTACATGCAGGCAATACACGCATACACATAAAATAAAAATAATAAAAAAAAGTTTTAAAAAAAATTTTAAGCTAAGGGCTAGAAGATGGTTCAGTGGTTCACTTGGCTACTATTGCAGAGGACCCAGGTTCAAGTCCCAGCACCCACATGGTGGCCAACAACCATCTGTAACTCCAGTTCCAGGGGATTTGACGCCCTCTCTGACCTCTGCAGGCACTGCAAGACACAGGTGTATTAAGACACAGGCAATATACTCATACACATAAAATAAATAAAGTATCAAAATATATGTATGTAAAGCTAAATAATAACACATAATTGTCTGACAATTCCCCGCTACTGGATATTTATGTGTTTTTCCTGTTTCTCAGTGTTACCAGCAATGCTGAGATAAATTAATCATTCATTAAATTTTTATGTACAAGCCTAATTACTTCTTCAGAATAAAATTCCTGATAGTAAAATAAAATTTAAGGGTTGGAGCTTATGAACACTGTAGTTTTTCAAAGCATTATGAAAATAGTGTATAAAGCCATTTACAACTTATACCTTCAGCCACATAATAAATTAAAAAGAATGAAAAAATATCTAGACATTTAAATAATTATTTTTATTCCTTAGATCATACCCATTTTTCCCAGCCATCATTTTCAGCTCGCTTCCTCCATCCACCTCGCCTCATGGTGGAGCTTCTGTATCAAGAAGAAAAAAATATGTCAATTTTATAACAATGTACTCCTCATTGATATTTTGATCGAGAAAAATTAGAAACTAAAGTCCAAAGTACAATGCCAAGTAAGTTTTTCAAAATATACAATTCTCAGATTGCTTTACAAGTGAAATCTGCCCACAGGACACAATACCCTCACTACGGGGGGGGGGGGGGAAAAGGGGGGGGGACCACAACAGGACTATGCACTCCTGAGCAACAATACAACTCACTTTAAATATAAAATATTTCCCTTCATTATTTGTCCTATAATTTGGCTTTTAAACTGTGATTTATATGTTAAATAATCAAGAATGCACATATGGTATAACATACCTATCTTACAAAAGGCGCAAAAAGAAGTCAATTAAAACAATACATCAAGTGGTATGGTGTTGAACACCCTTAATCTCAGCACTTGGGAGGCAGAGGTGGGTAGATCAAAATATTTCCCTTCATTATTTGTCCTATAATTTGGCTTTTAAACTGTGATTTATATGTTAAATAATCAAGAATGCACATATGGTATAACATACCTATCTTACAAAAGGCGCAAAAAGAAGTCAATTAAAACAATACATCAAGTGGTATGGTGTTGAACACCCTTAATCTCAGCACTTGGGAGGCAGAGGTGGGTAGATCTTTGTGAGTTCAAGGCCAGCCTGGTCTACAAAGCGAGTTCCAGGCCTAACCTGGGGCTACAGGGAGACCCTGTCTCAAAAAGACAAAAAAAAACAGAAAAAAAAATCAAAGAGAAAGATTATCATGGATTATCATATAATCAAAATCAACTAACTATACCAAATACAACCACCAAGATGACCAAATAAAGGCTCGTCTTAAGGGTCAGGTTTAATGAGTAGCAAGACAGAAAGTCAAGATTCTTAAGTCAAAACAGGCACTAAATGTGTCTTTGTAAAGTCAAATTCTTCTAGCCATGTGGTTGGGACATGATTGCATTATTCTTTACAAAATTAATACAATCTCTAATTACATATTTTCCTTGTAATTACAATAGTTTATATCAAATTCTTATTGTTATATAAAGGCTTACATATTATCAAACTCAAATTAGTGTTGATATGCTTCAAAAAATCTTTTAACACTTGAAACATGATATTTTATCACATATTAACACACACTTTGTTTCAAATACTCTTGGTTCTTGGTATACTGAGAGATTTGCTGATATTTGGTATTAACAAATTGTACAGTACATACTAAAAGTGAGTAAAAGATACAAAGAAATACTTCTTACAATTAAGTTTCAGTAGTAAGAAGATAATTTAAATGCTTTAGGGGAATGTATAAAGAACTCTGAAGAACAAGAGATAAAATATGAAACTTTACTGGACAGAAGAATTTCCAGTTTGTTATAGGCAGATGCAAGGGTGTTCAACGTGTTCTTGGCAAGCCCTGTAACTGCCATGTTGTTCTTAAATATCTGTTCATTTTAAGTAGCTTCCTTTGTCCAGTTCCTAAAAACTTAACTCCTTAAGAGTCTAAAAAATGCCTAATACAAAATTCCTGATGTCATTATGAACTATGAATCCATACACCTATTTTTTAAATATGTTATTTCTTTATTTCTTTATTTATTTAATTTCATGTGTATGAGTGTATTGCCTGCATGTTATGGGAGTGCACCCATGTCGTGCAATGCCGTGGAGGTCAGAAGAGAGCTTCGGATTCCCCTGGAACTGGAGTTAGGATGGTTTGTAGCTTCCATGTGGGTGCTCGGAATTGAATCCAGGTCCTCTACAAAAGCAGTCAGTGCTCTTAACCGCTGAGCCATTTCTCCAGCCCCCATACACCTATTTTTAGAGTAAAGAACTTGGGAATTCTGATCATTATATGCTAAGGATGCATACAATAATTAAATGCTAAATGAAAGTATATCAAAGAAAAACACATTTTTAAAATTTAATGCCAGGCGTAGCAGTGCACACCAATAATCTCAGCATTTGGGAGGTGGAGTGAAGAGGATGAGTAGTTCAAGGCCAACCTCAGTTACATATTGTGTTCAGGGCACAGGACACTCTGGCTCAAAAATAAAAAGTCGAATTCATTTATTCAACCATCTAAGAGCACCTTAAGATCTCCTACTATAAAAAAACAGTAAGAAAATCCTTACTGATGTACTGAGGTGAAGGTAGACAAGCATGAGAGTTGGATGCTAGAGCTGTAGATATGGCTCAGTAGCACAGCGCTTGCCTAGCATTCCAGAAGCTGTGGGTTTGATCCCAGCACTGAAGGAAAAAGACAAAAACAAAGCAAACAAAACAAAACCCACTAGAGTCAAATGCTAAATGATACTTCATTTTCTAAAAAAAAATAAGTAACTGCCTCAAGGAACAGGCTGCCTACCAAACAGTGAAAATTACTCGTCAAGAATCAGAACAATAATCTATAGCAGATATCTGCCACTTCTCCCCCAAAATGGGATTCCTTTCCCTCTGAGAGTATTTATCAATTCTAGATGAGTGGCAATGGGCCATGTTTTTAACAAACACAGTGCTAACCAGGTTAGTAATAAGATTTGGAGTTGAAGAGTCTTCTGAGAATACTGATCTCTGCATTTGGGACTGGGATCCCAGGAATAAGAATAAGCTGGAAGTAAACAGGCCAGACTTTGCAGAAATTTAATGCTGCTTTACATTATTTTAATTTTGGAAAGTAATTAAGATAATCCTGACAAAAGCACCTGGCACAAGAAAGCATAAATCCACTATGATAAATCCCAAACCTTACATATTCTATCATTGATTTTACAAATACAATGATTGTGACACAAAGAATTAAACTATACAGGTGAAAACCAACAAAACAACAAAATCAGACTTACAGAGATAGCAGATACTGAACATAAGAGACTTAAAATAGTCATGTTATGTTCATTCAAGGAAGCAACAAGAGTTCTAAAATTTCCAACTGCAAAAGAAATGAATAGCCAGACATGGTGGCTCATGCTTGTAATCCCAACACTCAGGATGAGTGCAGGGGGAGAGCCAAAAGTTCAAGGCCACCCTAGGCAGCTACACAGTGAATTTCAGAGTCACCAGAGCTTCTGAGTGTGTTGGGAGGTAGGGAGGAGACAACACTCACAAAGCAAGGGCATACTAGTGCTATGAATGAACACAAGGTAAAGTAGCATGGGCAATGAGGAGGTTCTCAGCATAAAGCTGAAAACAGGCAGCTCTGCCACCTGACAACCTCCACTATAAGGCCAAACAAAAGGAAAGATGCAGTGACAGGAAGCAAATAATATGTACAGGTACCAATATGGCTGTTGATATTTACATATACTATTCATTTCACTGAAACCAACATAAATCTCATTTCAGATAATCAAAACATTATATAATGAATATATATAATTGCTATTAATCTTGTATATGATAGGTAGTCAATAAATATTTATTGAGTCAATATAATAAACTTTCATGTAAGCTATGAAACATGATAATACAGAAATACAATCTAACTATATTGTAGAGCAATTCATCAATATTTGAAAAGGTACTCTGAATATTTCATCTTATCTACAATTTATTTCTCTTACTTTAAAACATTTTTCCAGGGCTGGAGAGATGCTAAGCAGTTAAGAGCACTGACTTCTCCTGCAGATGACCTGGGTTAGGTTCAGTTCTCAGCACCAACATGGTGGCTAACAACTGTCCTTAATTCTAGTTCCAGGGGATCCAATACACTCTTCTCAACTCTGTGGGCATTGCATGACATGGGTGCACTTACATACATGCAGACAATACATTCATACACATAAAATTGAAATAAAAAAAAAGCAAGTACTGCTCTTGCAGAGGACTGGAGTTCAGCTCTCAGCACCCACATCAGCTCCTAACTCCCAAGTCAGCAGGTCACAGCCACCTGTAACTCCAGCTCCAAGGGGGTCTGACACCCTCTTCCAGACACTATGAGCTGTGAGCACCTGCATTCACACATGCACAGATACATACACACACACACACACACACACACACACACACACAAATTAAAAAAATCTTTTAACAACAAAAATAAAACATTTTCTCACAACTTCACAATCATATTCTGTGCTAACAGTTTAACAGACAGCATAATCATAAATACCTCCTCCCCTAAAAGTGGTACAGACAAAATTGGCAAGTGGCCCACTTTTGATACCAGTAAGAATCACAAACAGATAGGAATTAACTATGGGTCATTTACAAGATTGGTAATACAGTGAAATACCTGGAAGGTGCTGAGGCTATGGGGAGACCCCATCTCAAAAAGACTGAAAAAAAAGAAAAGAAAGGTTTTGCTCTTTAAACAGGATTTAAAGTTAAGCCTAGAGGCA